TAGTGTCACAGGAGGGGGGGGCGGGTCTGCAGGACCTTCAACTTTGACGGTAGCGAGTCACAGGGAAACTGACTCCACTGCCTCATAGGAAATAAGGCAAAGTCAAGAAGGAGTGGCAGTGATACAGCCACTTTGGCTTTAATTAGGACTGGCTCAGTTTAACCAGGAGGCCACTCAGATCTATGTCTGAGCTGCCGGGTTCCACACGGTATGACTTAGCTGTTAGTGAGCTGAGGGTAAGGTCGAACTGAATGCGGTTAGTCTCTGCAAGACGGAAATAACAGATTAGCAAGGTTAATCATTTCCCTTTGGGCTGAAAAAAAGATGTTTTGAAACTGATCCCATCTCCCTGCTGAGGTCACCTGTATAGACTTTACAGTAGGAGCCAGTCTGGGACAATAACAGTTTTTAAACTACACTGAGTGTGACTCTGTAGCTAAAAGGCTAGAGTTAGCAGTGTGAAAACTGGTGTTTGTGTGTGGCACCTGCAGGCATCAGTCAGGGCGTTGGCTGTCTTCGCTGTACATTATCAAACAAAGAAGAGCACTGCTACTTAAGCAACCTTGTCTGGGCTAGAACTCATATGCAAACACTCAGTGTACAAGACATGTTCTGTTCTATTAACAGGCCAATTGGAAATACTCAGTTGGACAACTCAAGGAGGCCAGGAACATTTCTCAATTTAAAAGAGCTCTGTGGGAGCCATGAGGCAATAATGGAAGATTTCCTATCCTAAGGGAAGTCGTCTCCTCTTTCACACAGGATTCCACAAAACATAAATACAGACACCATCTACCTCATGAAAATTTCATATCAAGAGCAGGAGTCCAGGGTGGTCACAAGTTTTCTACAGTTTGGTTTCATAATAGCATATTAGTATAAACACACAGCGGCGAAGGTCTTGGACTGAGAGACAATCTCTTGCTGACATTATGTGGTCCCTTTGTTTGCTGGTGAAAGGATCAAGTTTCAGAAGACCATGTCAGTAATGACGGGGATAAAAATAAACAACAACTGAAGTTACAGAGGCTGTGTATGTGCATGAGGTAGTACTGTGCAGAGGTGAGGTAATGGGGTGTGCTGCAAGGCCAAGAGAGCCATGCAGCAGCTTGTCTTGTAAGAGCAGCAGCTGCATTCCTGAGAGACTGATAATTACCAAGTGAGGAACTCTCCTCTCCAACTCTGCTTTCACCCCCCCCAAACACACACACACACACCTCCTCCTTTTGCTTTGTCCCTCATCCCCTCTTCTTGTTCTCCCTTTCACCTAGGAGGCCGAGCCATGAAAGAAAAAAGGATAATAACTGGTGCATGGGAGTCATTTTGAGATATTATAACTGGCTATTGTTAACTGTGTGTGTGCTTCTCAGAGGGGAGTTACAAACTGTTTACCTCTGGAAACAGACCAAACTTTTGTTTACAGAATATGTGGAAAAGTATACATCAAGGTATGAGGAAAAATCAACCATAGTTAGGAAGTACGAACACCTTTTGGCCCATTTTGTCACCATTTATCCATATCTCAAAATGTATTCCAATTAAACCGCATTAGAATGTGGTGTGTGTGTGTGTGTGTGTGTCTCTCACACACTATAATATTTAAAATGTCGTTCTTTACAGCTGTAAGTTCTTACTAATTTTCTCACTTTATTTCTTTGTCAGTAACAAAAGAAACTGGTTATAAATGCCCATTACAATTCCCTAGAGTCCAAGGGAGCATTTTAAATTAACTGTTTTATTCTACCACCGGTCCACAAGCCAAAGATATTGAGCTTACTCCCCAAGAAAAGAAAAGAAGACCAAAAAAAGCAAAAGACTCTGTGTTTCTTTCCTACAACAAAGCAGAAACTTTCATTTTCTCCAGCAGTATTTAGAGAGAGTGGCTGAGCTCTGCAAGCCGTCTCGTTTGTTTTACTTCCAGAGGTTGCCAGGGGTCTAACTCTGGACTGCAGCCTCTGTGGAGTTTAAGACCCCTGAACTGACAGGTCAGGCAGAAAAGGTTGTGCAGCAGCAACCAGCAAATACAGCTGGATGCTGGGGTTTAAAAATACATCCTTTGTGTGTCTGCTCTGTCCCAGTCAAAATATAAACTCTCTATCTGCTTGGAAAAGCTTTTGGTCTGAAGCTCAGTCAGTCTGACAGAAAAATAAAATGTGGGAATAAAGAGTCCCTCAGTTTATAGCAGACCTTAGGTGAATTCTGATGCACTCCTGCCCCTAACAGCTACTGATGACATTTTAGGAAGTGTTGATTAGCACCCACTGTATTACTTATCAGCTAAGCCCTTTGATTGGGAGCACAGTGTCCCACTCATCAGACAGACGTTTCCTCTCACAGCCTGCATGACACATCGCTCACAGCATTCACACAATAATCATGTCTTTATCTCTTACAACACTAGTTGTTCCTCCGGATGCCTTTTCTTGACTCTTTACTCCACTGCGCTTGCACTTTATCACAACACGCAACTGAGAAATTGAACCTACCTGGCTGCACCATATCCCAATAGCAGAACGTGCTGACTGTCTTTTATTATCCTGCCCTGTCCCTCATCTCCTATGTGCTGTCATCCCATATCTACCTTGATGTTTCTCTTAGTCTCAGGTACCTGTAAGGTTCTGTTGCAGTGCTAGTGCTTACATAACACATCTGTAATCTCCATGGGTACAAGTCCTGGCATGATAGCCTGGCTAAGGAAGCAGCGCCAGTATGTGACACACCCTTCCTAAACAAATGGCTCTGTCTCAGCCTCACCTACCAGAGGGTACAAGAGGTTAACTTGAAGCAAAAAAAAAAACTCCATCGATCCTGGACTGCTGAAAGTGCTGCAGAGTTTGCAGAAAGGTTTCGATTTGGAGTCCGAAGTCCAGTAGAGAAGGCAGACAAACAGGGATTTTGAAGTGGACATGTTGTCTGTCAGTCTAATCCAGCAGCAGAGGGTCTTTTCAAGACTTGTGAATTTTCCTTACTGACTGTCATTGGCTGATAGGGATGAAATCAGTAGTCAGAGCACCTTGCTGCCAACAAGTCATTTGCTGCTGGGTATGTAATGGGAAATAACACAATAGTCTTCATTGTCTAAATGGCCTCAGCTTAGGATCCCTTAGGCCAAGCTGGGGAAATATCCCACACCTAGTTATTATTCATGCTACTGTGCTCAAAGTCCTGCCAAACATCTGCACCTCACTTTATGTGATTACACTTAAAACGACATGGTTTGGACATTTGGACAAGATTTTCTTGAGGCCACATTTTAGTTGTAAGCTTGTCTAAACAACTTAAGTAGAATAACATGAACCGTGTAAATAAAATGTACGTTATGTAGAGCCTATTTTTAAAGGTGGTCCCGTCGGTCCTGGTGATATTTTTATTTGTTTTTGACTTTTTGCAACCTCACAGAATTTTTATTTTCCACTTTTATCAAGCCAATTTAAAGTTTATTCAGTTTTAATAGGAGAAGCTAACCAAATACGTAACGAGCACTAACAACTGCACTTTTTAGTTAAAACCTATACGACAACACCAACCAAAATGCTGCCAATCCTACCTTGTGAGACTGTTTTGGTCCAGATGGGCTGATTCACCCTCTCTCCATTTGGAGCGTCCTCCTGCTGCGTCCTTCTTCCAACTCTCCAAACTTTTACCGCCCGACGGAAAACTTCAGGTGAACCATTTCCGTGAAAAGCAAACTTCAGGAAGTGACTGGAGTCTGGATTTGTTTGCACCCACCGACACAGAGAGGTCTGTCTGGCTGTCAGATGAAGGGACTTCGCTGTCCGTGCTGTCTGTCTACGGACACGCCACTGCCCCAAAGAAGGGAAATAAAATGTCGCTGCTCCGTCGACCTGCAGATCCCACCTGGAGAAGGTCGGGCGCGCTCAGGTGCGAGTAACAGGCTGCGGTCAGTTCTGCGAGGACACCTACTGGCGGGACAGAGGAACAGCAAGCACCCTAACAGCGGCGCAAGAGAGGAAGAGCAGGAACTTTCTTTTCCCACCGCTAGTTTGCATTTCTTACTGTGAATGGAGGAAATGCGTGAAGACTTTTTTTATGAAAAGAAAATGTCTTCTAAGGAAAATGTGTTTGTTTGTTTGTTTGTTTGTCCACTCACCCCAACCGGTCATGATTCTGTCTCTTCTGCTTCCTGTAACATGCTTTTATTCTGACACCACTTCCGGTTAAGGTATCATTTGCAGCTATGGACCCTTTACTCTAATCAGTGGTAATTATCTACACCCCTTTATAGGCAGCTTTCTCCCACCAGGAAGCTGCCAGATTGTTCTAGACTCCTGTTCAGACTTTCCAGTGTTTCTTCTCGTGCCTGTTATTCCAGCCCTAACCCCAGATTGCCTTGTTGACCACTGCCTAACCCTTCGGATTCTGATTGAATTCTGTGCATCCACTTATGGATTTCACTTACTGACCAATCTTCTTGGGGATACCTTGGATGTGTGAATTTGCTGGCTCTGATCCTGGACTGGAATTATTGACCTGAGAGTGATACACATTTAATCAGACTTCTGAACTGTGTACAGTTGTTTGTGACCAGCGTTCTTATTAAACAGACAATGTTCTGCTTATCCTTGTCTGGCCTTATAATTGAGTTCATCCTCGACATTATGGGCAGCTTTACTTGCTGATCATGACACAATGTAGGGACCTTTGAGGTTTAGCTGAACAGGTGACGGTGACACAGTGTTCCCATGGGCACAGATGATGGACTTTGGAATAACATATAGTGCCTAGTTATACCTGGCATGTTTGCATACTGTTTTACTGTATTTTTCATACAGAATATGAGACATTATAAAATAAAGATATGACATATTTTTGAAGATGCCCATATCTTTTAAACACTCTCCTTTATGAAATTCCCCTGTGGTGTAGTTTGGATGCCATCTCTGTCCTGTGAAGAATTTGATTGGCAGCATGCAAAGCATTACAACCAAATAGTCTATATGAACCATGCAAACTTTATGGGCAGCTGAGCTCAATCATGGAGGACACTATTAAACGAAAAGGCATGCATGGGCCTGATAATGTTGCCACCTCTGCCTGTATAGTAGACTGAGGCAGAGTGTTTGTCAGGTGGAAGGTTATTGCTCAGATGATTTTCAACCAGCACTGTCTTCTTAGATGCATTAAACAGTCTGTAAAGCTGTTTAAATATAGCTCTCTGTCTCCACGTGTGTTAGCTGATGCATCCAAAGCATGTAGGCCAGTCTGCCCACAGCAATGACACAGTTTGTGATCCCATGTGGGGAGATGAGAGGGTTCTAGATAAAGTTTCCCCTGAGCTTCCAATGTTATTAATAAATACAAAGTGTGCCTCTGTTTTCCTGGATACAGACACTGTATAGCTGTCCTGAAGGCTAAAGCAAACCGTGTCCACAGCTGATTGCACCATCTGTCTGGACTATCCTATCCGAAGAAAGTGAGTAGAAATATAAGTTAATATAAATTGTTACTGATCTGTATAAGAGACTGATATTGACCTGAGGGTTTTTAAGGTATTATTTAGTGTGATATCATAATTGTACTTGATTATATTTACAGTTAATAATAATACTGCTGTGCAAATTAGACTGAATTACCATATCAGAGGGATTTAGTAAGAACTACAGTATTATCAATGTATCATTCATTTATTATTTATATTGGTAATAGGATTAAGGACAGTATTTCCCTCCTTCTTCCTTACAGTTTGCCTCTCATCAGCTGATGGACAATCAAGGATCAACAGAGGATGGAAAAGACAAGGCATCTATCGAGGGTTCACTCCCGGAGCTTAGATTTGTTGAAGAGATCAAAGAAAGCATCCATACTGACTCTAAACCAGAGAAAATCATTCCCCTAGATGAGTGTACACAGCACCCTACAATGCAAGCGGACCAGGCTAGCATGGATGGCTTGGGGCAGCTTTTCGAGCACTGCATCCGGCAAGTGTCCTGTCTCGGTAAGCGGAGGGACGAGCTCATACAAGAGCTCCTCCGTCTGCAGGAGCCTATGCTGCGAGTTGTTGAGCACCTGAGAGGGAAGCTTGTGGAGACACAGCGACTGCTCACTCTGGCTCAGCTGGATTACATGGCTGTTTATGAGGAAGTGCAGAAGGTGAAGAAGAAACTGCTTGCCACAGCCAGAGACTGCATCCAGAGCCAGGTGACGCTGGCGGCAGATGAGTATGAGGTGGCTCAGTCTGCTGTCACGCAGGTATCTGATAGGATATTTTTGTCTACATTTTGGTGTTATCCTTTAATATCTATGATCTAAAATCATTCTTTTGTTTTATGCTGCATTCAGATTTTATCCTGATTTGTTTCCCAATTGTTTTGCAGGAAATACTGTGAATCCAACACCACCTAAAAACTGTCAGCAATGCAAGTGCTCAATACATAATTTAAGGCATACCACATAAGTGTGATCACCTTATGAATTTATAAATTAAAGTTGTTAAAGATTATATTATATTTTAGATTAAAAGTGTCTGGAATCAAATTTACAGGAGTGATGACAGCTGATATATGAGAAACCACATATTGTATATAGTAGGTCTAAATGTTGATGTTGAATCAACAGTGTCAAATGCTGTTGCAATACTGTATAACATTTAGCGTTTTAACCTTAGAGTTCCAAATGAGAGAAGGCCTTATGTGAGTGTTTAGGCAACAGTTTCAGGACTGATTTTAAAAAAAAGATACTTCAAATAAAGGGGGAATTTATGGGATTGCTATATCAAGAAATTGTAAAGGCATAGTACGCAGTGCAAGTTTAAAACTGTTTACAAATTGTTAAATTAACATGGATAGTATAACAATGTATGATCAGCATGTTAGAGATGGGTTTTTATGGTCAGTTAGGATTATGTATTGTAAAAACTGAACAGTAGCTTCAGCCTGCAGCTTTTTGGCCTCTTTTTGTAAGGTACTACTTAGCTGGGAGTCACTGTCCTTTGATTTGCCTATTTTAACTGACATTTTTAAACACCTGTGGTAAGGTCAACATGTTTTAATTCAATCTTGATGAAAAATCTTCCTGTGCATATTTCTGCAAATACTTGGTTTGCAGCAGCTTTGCATCAAATACTGAGTGTCATGTATGTTTTTGTCAATGTTATATCTGTTTAAAGGAGGAGCTCAAGGCCCACATCCAAAATCTGACCCAGGAGTTGTCCCAGCTCTGGGAGGCCCACCAGAACCAACTCGATTACTTGAGGGATCAGGCCACTAAACCCCACAGGCCTAGGGCCATGAGTGATGTCAGCCAGTGCCGCCAGGCATCTGTCAGATTGCAGAGGCGGCTCAGTGGCAGTGTGAAGGCGCTGGAGGGCTGGTATGAGCCTCGGCTCATGGCCCTGCTGAAGAGGAGGCAGACGGGGGAGGATGCCTTGAGGAAGAGCAGGGAGCAAGCAATGGACCTGAGGGCCAGCCTGGGGCCCCTGAGAGAGGACATACAGAAACTGGAGGTGCAGAGATCTTGTCTGGAGCAGAGGATCACTCTGATGGAGAGAGACAGGGACGAGAGCATCACACAACACAAGGTACGGTAACTCGAGTCAAGTGACAAATATTAACAATGTGTGTGGTAACACAAAGCTGCCTAAGATGTCTCACCACTCTGCACAGGACACTATCGAAAAATTAAGAGAGACTCTGAGAGAACTCAAAATGGAGTTTGAAGTTCAAAAAAAATCTAAACGCAATTTGGAGGTTCTTAAGGAAGGCCTTTTGACAGAGCTGACATTTCTGAGGTAGGTTTACTTAGAGCTTCAGCTTCTAGAATCATCATCGGGCATAAAGATAAAACATAACGCATTGCCTTGGTTTACAGAGGCTGTGATGAGCCTGGTGAAACTACTGCAGAAGAGGACCTTTAATTTTCTGTTTCCAGTGGATATTCTTAAACAAGAAATATACATTACCAGCAAGATATAAAGTGATATATGGCTTCTACAGAGTAAATGACTAAAATAATATTTTACAAGAAATTACTTCTATGTAAGTCTGATACGCTGTACCAAGAAACAAAGCACAGATTTACTGTAAACCATTTTTTATTAACATACTTAAGTACACAAGATGCAGCACAGAAAAATAAAAATGCTGAAAGAAAAAATTGAAAATTCATACTATGAATATCACACAAAAGAAAGACCTACAGTATGTACAATTTGAATAAAAAGGGAATTGGGTAGAAATGTTTTCACACAAATAATCAAGATGACAGAAATGAAACCATCAAAAAGCAAACCTGACTGACGGACACATCTGTGATGGCTTCTTCACAAGCCACAGTGGAGCACTGGGAGTCTGAAAAACTAATGCATCTAAAAATCAGACCAATACATAGTCATCTTAAATATTTCACAACATGATGACAGCACAGCATTTTATTCTTTTATCTTCTACAAAAACAGTGCTGCCCAAAATGTATGTTTAAAAGATGTTACTTCTTATGCACTCAACTCTGGAAAATTGATCAATTTTTAATAAACAGGTCAAATGAAGACACATGGAGACTAGACTCATGCCTGGACCTCTGAATCTGCAGCACCTTCTGGGTCCTCATCATTGTAGATGTTTTCAGCCTGTAGGATAGGAATGCGTACTGTAACTCAGACTGACTGTGGTAATAAATGCACTTTGAAATAAAAGATTTCTCCATGTTATGTCTGCTCTTTATGAGGTTCTGACAGCCCTACATGTCATGAAGCTCTTACCATCTGCCAAACTTGCATGATGTTGTCCTCTGATACAGAACAGATGACCCACGGCTCGTTGGGGTTCCATGAGAAGTCTGAGATCTTAGCTGTGTGTCCACCATGGATGAACTAAAGAGAAGCAGAACAGGAGGGATTATTACTACACTTAAAATGTAATTAAAAAAAAAACAAAAAAAACCACACACACACGAATCACAAAACTGACCAGCAGCTCAGGAGGGCCATCCTCAGCATCCTCTGGAGACTGCTCCTCTCCAATCTTACTGAGGTCCCAGACGTTGAGGCGTCTGTCAGTGCCACTGGAGGCCAGAATGGTTTCGTTATGGGGAGACCACTGAACCTGTTGGGAAGACATGGACTAGATGCTAAAGACACTAGACTAAAACCGGTACAACAGTTGGCTAACTGTTGCCTGTTTGCTTTATGATTATTCCTACATTTACAAAGGCCTCATCATTTCATCAATTATCTCATATACAGTAGCTGCAGGTGCAAACAACAGGTGTGCTTCAATGGCCCCAATAAGCCTCATTCCACAACAAAGTACTCACTTAAGTCTACATTTTTAACTTGTTGCTCAGTCTTTACATCATATCTCCACATCAACCAAGCAATAACTTCTAATTAACTACTAACATTATTTTAAATGAATTAAACTAAACAGAGGTTCGCTAGTTACCTGGAAGATCTCGTCTTTGTGAGACTCAAACGAGTGCAGCTTCAGCTTCAAGTTCCTCAGATCCCAAAGAGCCACAGTCTAAAAATAAAAAAGTAGTCAGCTTCCACTGATCAAACCCATTACACCACTTGTGAAAATAAAAATTCATCCTGAACCTTTGGACTGTACAGTGGACCTACCTTATCTGCAGAGCCAGTCGCCAGGATGAACTCACTGTAGGGATTAAAAGACAGGCAGTTGACCTCAGCGGTGTGGGCGTCCACTGCATGGCTGGGCTTGGAGGTGTTGTTGGACCGTGTGTCCCAGCTGTTTCAAAATGGACAAAAGCACCATGGTTGAAAAAAAGCTAAAACTGAAGAGCTTTGTTTCTTTTGAGTCATCAGAGAGGTTAGTGAATTATGTTGTTCAGTTAGGAGCTGCTCACATCATGAGTTTCTGGTCATCAGCCACAGATCCAAAGAGTGACTCATGGAGCAAGTGCCAGGAGACATCCTCCACCACAGCAGTATGTCCTGTGAAGATGGTCTTGGCATCCACAATCTTACCCTCCTTGGGCACTGTGCTGATGTCCCACAGGCAGATAGTCTATAACAGAGAACAGAGATGGGTAAGAATACATATTAACAAAACAAACAAAAACAGACAAAGAGGACTGCTTACATGGTCATCAGAAGCACTGAGAAGACAGCCGCTGAGATTAGGGTTCCAAGAGAGGCCATAACCCTCCTTCTGGTGACCTCTCAGGCGCAGATCAGGGGTGCATTCTCCCGAGGGGTCTTTTTTGAAACAAAATCAATGTTGCAATAAATGTGGAGAAATAACACTTGCTGTAGACTTTTGGAAATTCTTCAGAAAATAGTGTTTTGGCTGTAACCCTACCAGGCTTGGATGGATGCTTTGTGTAATCAAAGACCAGCACATCACTAGTAGGGGTCTTGGTGGCAATGATGCAAGGATTCTGAGGCATGTAGCGGGCTCTGTTCACTTCTCCCTCATGGTTGATCTTGATCTCAATCTCTATCTTCCCACTTACTGAGCCAAAGCCTCCGAACTCTGAAGTAACAGAAAAGCAGGATTAATATTTCAAATTTCCATGTGTGGACTAAAATTCTGCAGTTGTTGGAATACTGTACACAAATATGGTAAATTGCATTGTACTAACAAATAAAATTAAATAAAAAATAGGTGTCTATATTTTGTGAACACCACTATAATTTTAACATTCTTCACTCATACGTTTTGTGCAAGAAGCAGTCACACTCAAGGTTTAAACACAGCCATCCTTCCAAATTTGAATTTTCCCTCACCTCCTTTCTCACTGTCATAGTGTGAGGCATCAAACTGGGCATCATCATTTGGGAGCTGAACACTGGCAATCACAAGGTGATTCTGCTCATCAGAGGTGTGTGTCCCCAGAACCAGCCTGTGGACACTGTAGTCTTTTCCCTCTGGCCTATGAAGGGGGACACAATTTCGTTAATTCCTATCTCTTGGCATGTTTTGATATCTACACAGGAGCAGCAGATCCCTACTCACCTGGTGACATCTGGCAGCCACTGGGCGGTGAGGCTGGGCCACTCTAGGGCGTGAGTCATGACCAGGTCATAGAGGAAAGGGGTGTTCTTCTTCCAGATCTTATACTCCTCATTGATTACTCTTTCCTCCACAGCATCATCAAACGCAGCTGTAAAAGTAATATTTCCCAGAAAACCAAAACTCAACTAAACCATGCAGCATCTAACTTGTCTGAACTCGACAGAGGGTTCAGTTAAAGTCATAACCTGTCCAGCTAACGCTAGGCGTCTGCTTGTCAAAGTAACATTTGTTAGCAATAAGGTTTATTTTGCTAATAAGTTAACGTTAGTACATTTAGCTAGAATTAGCTACATAAATACAAAATCTGTAACCCGCTGATGAGGAAGATCCTAAGCAATAACATTAACCAATCCACGTGGAACAGTAATCTGCCTCCGCTCGTAAATTAAAAAGCATGTAAACTAGCCTATGAGGAGCTAACGCTAGCTAATCGCTAGCTGGCTAGTTTCTAACAATGAAAGGAGATGCTGGTTGGCGCGCCAGCCACCACCAGTCCATATTGACTTGTACTTTCTAGTATTTCGAACATCTCAGACACACATTTAAGTGCGGAGTCAGGTAAGTAAACATCCTTACCGTCTTTGTCGGCCATTGTGTCGTAAATAAACCACTATTACTAGCAAAAAAAATAAGTATTTTTGAGGAGAGCGCTCGGAAGACAGCACTAAAAATCGCAATGGCGCCAACTCTGTAGAACACCGCTGGCCAATCAGCATTCACTAAAGCCGACAGGAAGTCGTTATTGCAACACATAACTACATCCGGGGTCGCTTCCCTTTTTCCATTTTGAAAGCTTGGCTATAACACTGGTAGATTAAAAAGAAGGTCTGTTTATCATTTATAACGTCAAACAATCTTACAACTACAATGGACGACCGTTCACTGGATCTGACAGAGGCACAGATAGCTATCAAGTCAAAATACCCACCAATCACCAAGAAATACGAATGTAAGTATGAAATGATGATACACAGTTTAGCTAGCTTAGTTCATTTACTGTTTATCTACTTGTGAAAACAGTGATTGAAAACTATTTTTGCAGTGTCCGAGGTCAGCTAAGTTAACTGTGGCTAACGTAATGGTTATGCTTCGTGCTCTATAGAAATATTTAGCTGTTATCACGTAGTCACCAAGCTGCTGGAGCAGCACGCAGTCCCCTTTTTCTTTCCTCATCATTTCACCTTGTTTTTTTCTGTTACAGACCTAGATCATACAGCAGATGTACAGTGAGTGTGTATTGTTATCTTGGTAATCTGATTTTCAGATCTCATGTTTCTCTGTTCTTTGGTGCTCACCTTTGTCATGTCTTCTCTTCCAAGAATTCACTCCTGGGGAGACACTCTGGAGGAGGCCTTTGAGCAGTGTGCCATGGGCATGTTCGGCTACATGACAGACACAGAAACAGTGGAACCGATCGATACTGTTAAGGTGGAATCAGAGGGTGAGAGTCGCTCTGTTCAACACAAGCCCTAACTATATCTATTCTACTGGTCATGTTGTTACCAGATCACTGAAAATAAACTTCCTTCATTGTGCTTTATCAAAAGGTGAAGACATGGAGTCTCTTCTCTTCCACTTCCTAGATGACTGGTTGTACAAGTTTTGTGCAGAACTCTATTTTATTCCCAGGGTGAGTATGTTAACTCTACCCACTTTGGAGTGCATCACATTTTGATTTCATTTAGTTCAAAAATGCATGTGGGGGAGAATGGTCTCTGCCCTTTGACCACTTTATGATGCGATTTGCTGGAGAGGTAGGTAGATGGGTGTGTGCAAAATGTTGTGTAATATGTACCATAGCTGCTTGTTATATTAACTTATTTACTGATTAATTAACTAAATAATCAGTTAACACCACAGTGTCTAACTCTCCCTCCCAAACGAAGAATGACAAAAAAGAAAACAAAACAGCGATGACTCAGAGGTGTTGCTTTAAAACAATCAACATAAGGGTTCCATAAATGTGTGAAGTACTTGACTTTTTATTTAACAATATAAGTCAGTTTCTCAATAACAAAACAGGCTGTGCATGTTTTCTTTTGTATAACTTCCATGATGTATGTTTTAATGTATTTTCTTATGTTATTCTATAATCGTGTTATCCCTGTACGTTAGGAGGTCAAAGTTGTGCACATAGACAGAATGCATTTCAAGATTCGCTCCATTGGGTAAGTTTAGGCACCATTTCACAATAACATAAAGGTTGCATAAAGGGGGGGGGGGTTAAAGTTTGATAGCATTTGTTCAGCTGGAGTACACAGTCACAGCATGACGGGATAAACTGTATGATGATAATGCATGTGAGCTGCGCAATCGTTTGACAGGTTTTGAAAAGGTGACTCTGAATATGGATGCATGGACAGCACTTACAGCTGAATTGTATGTGATTCACCTGCCATTATATATGCAACTGGAATATACAGGGGGCTGTTTTTCAGAATCAGCTTTATTGGCCAGGTGTGTCGGACACACGAGGAATTTGACTCTGGTACATTGGCTCGCAATGTGCATGTACATATCCCCATGCAAGGGGCAAGTAAACGGTAAACCAACATAAGGCTGTGTAGTATAACAAAATAAACAGTATTAACAAGCAACAAAAAGTGCAAACAATGCAAAATAAACAGTGTAAACAGGCAGTAAACAATGCAGACAGGCAAAGGAATCCTCATTGTGAAATGAGATAAACAGGAATACAGATAGGGTACTTAAAAACAGAGATGTACATGTATATTTACAGGTATTGCACTGAGGGTTATTGGCCAGTCATACTGTTGTGGGTCAAGTGTTCATCAAATTGATGGCCCAGGGCAAAGAAACTGTCCTTGTGCCTGGTTGTCTTGGCATACAGTGACTTGTAACATCGTCCAGAGGGGAGGAGTTCGAACAGATTTTATCCCAGGTGTGAGGGACAAAATCCGCTGGAGTCTGTTCCTGTCCTGTTTGGTTGCTGAGCCAAACCAGACAGTGATGGAGGTGCAGAAAACAGACTCGATGATTCCTCTGTAGAACTGTATCAGCAGCTCCTGGGGCAGGTAGAACTTCCTGAGCTGGCTGCAAGACACTGAGCCCCAAGTTGCTCCTGGTGGCTGTGCTCTCAGCATGTGTGTGTGTATGAATGTGTGTGTATGAATGTGTGTGTATGAATGTGTGCGTGAATGGAAAATAGCGGTAAAAGCACTTTGAGTGTGCTTCATTGCATAGAAAAGTGCTATACAAGTATAAGACTGTCTACCATTTAATATTAAAATGCGTACTTTGTACACTAATGTAGAATATACAAGAGTTTACTGAATTGTAAATGGTTTGAACTGTGGATGAGTTGTAGCCAAGAGAAAAAGTCCAAACAGCCAATACTGTTCATTGTATTGAATTTATCTGTTAATTAATAATAATGCACCTTAATGTGCCTTTTTTTTTTTTTTTATTAAAGGTGGGGGGAAGAATTCAGTCTTGCAAAGCATCCACAGGTAAGCTGGTAAAGGAGGCTTGTGTATTCATTATTAAAGTTATAACATGATTATCACTGTATGGGCTAACAATACAACACTGACTCTTTAATAAAAGAATTATGCAAAATTAATAAAGCATATAAAATTTATTCTAAGTGTTATTTCCTTTGCTGTCATTCAAGGGAACAGAAGTGAAAGCCATCACGTACTCTGCAATGCAGATCCATGATAAAGAAAAACCAGAGATATTTGCAATTATTGATATCTGACAGCCCCTCCAGATACAGATCGCACTTCTGGTTCGATGGAAACGGAGTATCTACATGGCCAATTTAAGTGGCCTTTTCATCTAAGACACTGATTTGTTGACTTATGAAATCTGGGTTTCTACTTGTAGATTGAAAGGAGCGCTTCTCAACATTAGTTTTGATTATGAACACAGCACAAAGTGCAATGGAAGAGCTCTCTGACCAATTATAGATCAGTTATATGACATTAATATCTCATACGATCATTGCAAAAGTCATAAAATCCTTAAATAGAAATGTGACTTCTGGGAATAGCAATTATATTCATGGAAATACAGTGTATGGAAATATGAAAACTTGTATATAATGTCATAATTGAAAGGTAAAACTGAAAACTTTAGAACACTGATTTTTTTTTTATATATTTGTCAACCCAGTTTTATTTCAAATGCATTTAAAAATTCGTACACATTTAAAATTGCACTTAATCATTGCAAAGAATTTATTTTTTTGTGGGATTGATTGAATGGTCAATGGTACTTTCATTTAAAATCTCACCTTTTAATGTTTTGTGGGGGTGTGGTCATTCTGCAGGGCAAAGCAGAAAATAGAAACTCATTTATTACTACAGAATACTTGAATGTCAAACATTATAAGAAAAAATATGCATAAATCATTCAGACTTAAACATGGCAACATAATAGTAAATCTTGTATGATGAATCTTTTTGACCTGTTTAAAACTATGTAATTAATATGTTTGTGCTATTCTTATAATGTTACTAGGGGTGTAAAGATAAACCAATACAAATCGGAAGATTGACACAATAGTTAGCTTTACAGCTGCCTTGGTTGAGAACCACAGAATTGAACCAAACGCATTTTTAAAATGGTCTAAAATTAATATGATGTCAAATTTTACTTCCTGCTGTGCTCTGCTCTGTGCCTCTTATGTGAATGAATAGTCTTTCAAATAAAAGCTAAAATAAAACTGATTATCTCCTGAATCGAAACGAAATCATTCTGAATTGCACTTGAATCGAAACGAAATCATTCTGAATTGCACTGTCTCGTAGCCTTACAAATTTAGCTGTATCGTTTTTGAATCTAATCATGGCCCATGTATCGAGATGCGTATCGAATCGAGTGGGAGGAAGAGATGCACACCCCTAAATGCTACGAATGATTGGTTGAGTTGTTCAACATGCTGTTGGGATGTTCAGTATTTATCGTTGAATTTGACCTTTTTAAGAGCACAAAACATGTATGTGTTGTGTTGTAATGAGAATGTGAACACTGCAGAATTCTGTTGTGGACACGGACTAAATGTCAGTGTCCAACAAACTGATTACTAAAGTAAATCACAGGTTTTCTGTTTATTAAATATGTTATTAATGTACTACTAATGTGACCACCATAGTTTAAAATTGGGTGACTCTGTTAAAACTGGGTGAACTTGCAACTTGATCAAACCACATCTGCAAGCCCAGTTTTTACTCCAAAGGCAGTGAGATGAGAACAATAGGGCCTGAAAAGCATTATCACAGCCACTCAAGTATATATTACAAAATAGTTTTGTGCACTATATAATGGAATATGTTCATGTCTGGGCATGTAACTTCTTTATCAGGTGAAGGAAAAAAACTCGGCTAAACGTACAATTACAACAATGTGGAGTGTAACAGTTAAACTAATCTGTATTGCCTTGATCACATACATTTGCAAAGCACTGTGCAACAGGAATGAGTGCAAACTAAGCAAGGAGACTTCTGGATAATCTAGTCATTCAGATTACACAGTAAATGAAGACAGTGAGCTGGATTATAGCTTCCTTGCTCCTGGAAGGATGGGTCCTGTGTTGTCTCTGATGTTTGAAGGTTGACTTGTCATTAGTTTAAGAACACCTGGTATTTGTTGGTGTTACTGGAGAAAATAAGAGCAGAGTGTATTTTTAATGTATGGAGCCACTATATAAACCCGACCGACTGCGCATGTGGAGGAAGCAGCTTCTATAGCCTCTTGATATGAGGCCTGTTTGGGGCATGAAAACCATGATTATCTACGTTTCCTTTGTGGAGAGGGCAGTGCAGGCATTAGAAGATGTTTCAATGGCATGCCACTGATATAATGAGGTAATACATCTGCTGCCTTTCTCTGCAAACATGCCTGATCCTACGCACAGCCTATGGCGGATGAATAAGAACAGGCGCCTCGTTAAATAATTAAAGTGAAGAAAATGAGCAAGTAGCAGAAACAGTAAATCATACACCTCCCTTAATATAGCCATGGTCTGGACCACGGAGCCACGAGAGCGTTCCGGTGGCGACGTCACTGCCTCCTCCCGTATTTCTCCCTCTCACAGCCGACTCAAACGGTGCTGCGCCATATCTTCTTTGTCCGCTGTTGGGAGTACACCCAGCTACAGGGGAAAGATACCAGGGCTGTGTGACTCCACTGTGTATTATACCGCACTTGGAAGCTGCTGTTTAGTTTACGGCGAAGCTAACGAACCTAGTTAAGCTTCGATCGATAATCTGGCCGTGCTACCGCATTATGAGCCAGGTGAATGCTAATACGAACAAGTCTGAGTCCGCCGTAGAGTCAAGCCCAGCACAGAAGAAAATCAAAATGGAAGACACTAAATACCTCCCAGAGCTCCTGGCTGAGAAAGACAGCTTGGATTCCTCGTTCACGCATGCAATGAAGCTTATTTCTGCAGGTAAAGTTAATCGGTGTGATTTGTTGCTAGCTTTTTATGGTTAGCACAAACTAGCTAAGGCTAACGGTAGTAGCCTACGGCGGGTTGCCAGTGTTTTTCCACAGCGGCCTGAACAATGGATACACGTGGTTATATCAGCAATGTGGGTCAAATCCTCATGTATGAAAGTGTATCAGTTTTTGTTTATTTAACTTACCAGACCCTGTAAATATGTTTATGTAGCTATGTAAGCTAACGTTAATATAAGGGTCTTTTGAATAACGTTAGTATCTTCATTATTCAATTCACGAATGCAATTAATATCGTGTTGCCTATGGTGCAAAATAATTGCAAAGATTATAGTCCAAGTACTTGACATTTATTTAAAGGCAACAGAAGATAGACACCTTGTTTTTACTGGTTTTCAGACTGCCACAAGGTCAGCTGAGATGTGGTTAATTTTTGCTAACATTACCAATCTATGTCTGTGCAGATTCTCAGTCATCCAGGTCATAGTAACCTGAAAAAATCAACTGGACTTAGATTTCTAGATCGAAGATGTTTCACCTCTCATCCAAGAGGCTTCATCAGTTCTGACTGACTGGTGTTGAGCTGGAGATATTAATCCCCCTTGGTGGTGTTTCAGTCCATTGAAGACCAACAATGGTTGCAGCCCAGTTCAGTGAGAGTCGTTACCTGTCTTTGAATCCTCCCCTGTCGACCGACGCCTATTGTCCTGGTGGGCATGTTTGGGCAGAGATCTCAAAACAGGGTTGTAGATGGAAGACAAGTTGTGTCTTAGTCCACCACCCCTATTTAGTGAGGGGTGTTCTATTTTTACAAAAATAGCACTGTCCTCAAAAGATTGTCCTTTGTCCTTCAGGTGGAGGTGGACTGCTGACTCTGGTCCACTGGAGTTGGCCCTCCTGTGTTGAGCCATGCGTTTGTAAAGCGGCCGCTTAGTTTCACTAATGTACAAGTTGTTACACTCCTGACTACACTTAATTGTATACACCACATCACTCTGTTTATGTCTGGGTGTTTTGTCCTTCGGGTGGACCAGTCTCTGCCGCAAGGTGTTCTCTGGTTTACAGTTAACTGGGATATTGTGCTGGGACTTGTACATTGGTGAAACTAAGCATGTGAAGTAACCTTTCAACTTCTTTGTCAATTTTACAAAAAAGTTTGTAAAGATTTAACTCTAAGGTCAGCAGATACTATCAGGGTCTAAACTTGCTTTTCAAAAAAAAAAAGAAGCCTACAGTGTACATGTCTATACTGGAGACAGATTTACATGACTTTACAAACCTTTGACTATGTGACCACAAACACATTTCATGTCATGTGTGTCTGAATCACCCATTCTTGCGAACCTATTGCATCACTATGGTTGTCATGACTTGTTGGAGCTTGCAGGACAGTGACACATAGAATCTGGGATGGGTGTGTGCCTTGAATAACACTTGAGATTACCAATCTACGTGTATAGTTAGTTATGCATTGCATCTATAAATACTACATACTTAAAGTAGTTCTGTTTGCAGAGATTGAGAGGATCCAGAAAGGTGAAAGTAAGAAAGAGCCAGAAAAGGAAACGTATCTGGACCTGTTTGCTACCAAGAACCTCAAACTCAAAGAGCGGGTACTCATTCCCACCAAGCAGTACCCTAGGGTAAGTGATTACCTTCTTTTTATCATACAGGATTTAACCCCTTTCTATCAGCTGTTGTCCCACTGTGCTGGTCACTCTGGCAGCTCCAGTAAACTGAAGAAGCTGTGTTAGTGACACTTAAATTGATATAGGGTTGCACTTCTTCACTGTTTTCTCACTTTGGAGATAAAAATGTAAAACTGAGACACAGCCATTTGCTTCTGTCTGCACTGATCTTTACAGCATAAATACAATTTGCACTAGTGTGTGGCACAGATCCAACTAACCCTGTGTATCTGAAGTCATTTGTGTTCCAATTGTTATTAAAATATTTCCTACAGGTTAACTTTGTCGGTAAGCTTCTGGGACCTCAGGGCAGTACAATCAAGAGACTCCAGGAGGACACTGGGGCAAAGATTTCAGTTCTGGGGAAAGGTTCCATGAGGGACAAGAGTAAGGTATGGTTGCTTACTGCACTGAGTTGTTCCTGTGATTGATGTTCTCTATGGTAATTATCTGCCTTTTAATGTGTCCTGTAGGAGGAGGAGCTGAGGAAGGGTGGTGAGGCTAAATATGCACACCTGGCCATGGAGCTGCATGTGTTCATTGAGGTGACAGCACCCATCCCAGAAGCCTATCTGCGCATGGCTCATGCCATGGAAGAGGTCAAAAAGTTCCTCATCCCGGTATGACAAGGAGAACCTCTTTCATCCCAATTACAAAAATGTTTTGTGGACCTGAAATTGAATTTTTTTTTCCAGATATGCAAGTAATTTCAGTTCTTGCTGCTCTAGGGGAATGTCATGCATGACTGTTTTTGTCATTGTAGGAGCCTGGTGAGCATGACCCATACATGGATCCTCACTTCCTGAATGGATCTCAGGATGGTTCGGGCAGGGGGCGAGGTGGCCACCCCGGAAGAGGCAGGGGTGGACCACCTGGCGCTGGAGGACCAAGGTGGAAGCCTGAGTGATAGTGACAATAACAGTAATTTTTGCCACATCACATTGCAGTGTCTTCTGGTAGCACATTGTTAAATATGTTCAGTCACATGTACACTTTCTCACTAAAACATCATGTTGCTAAATGCTCACACAGCAGTCACTTGTTCTTTGACACAGATTAGTCTGTTTAGCTCTTCAGGTTTCTATGTATGGTCACATTGTACAACCTGGCAAATTTCTTCGCAGGGGTCGAGGAATGCCAGGCCCACGAGGAGCAATGCGTGGTGGAGCTCCGCGTGGAGGACTAGGACGGGGCAGCGCGCCTAGAGGTGCGCCATCTGGTAGGGGCGGACCACCTTCCGCTGCTGCTAGAGGAGGCTCAGCTCCCCGCTCTAGACCCCCTACAGCAGGGGCTCCAAGGATGCTCCCCTCTGCGGCCCTGTCCCACCAGCAGCACCAGGCTCCTCCTTCTGCATCACAGTCCAAAGCTGATGCCTATGAGGATTATGTAAGTTTCTAAAGTCCTCTTTCTTCTTTGCACATGTATTGTCTCTTAATAAGCAGTAGTGATCTTTTGCTGGGTGCAGGGTGGGTTCCTTCTTACATGATGTATAATTATTGTTAATTTTTCCTTCTAGCCACCATATGAAGAATCCTATGCAGAATCCGCCTATGAGGGATATGATGGTTATTACAGTCAACAGTCTGCACCTGCGTAAGTCCTAATTAAATTTGGTGGCTCTATCTGCTAATTAAAACAAACTATTTTGGGGCTGTGTTTTATTAACACTACAAAATCTTTTCTCAGGGATACTGAATATTATGATTACGGACACGGGGAGGCCCAGGATTCATCATATGAGCCTTATGGTAAAATTTGACATTCCTTTTTGTCTAACCATGAATCACACACACACACACACACACACACACACACACACACACACACACACACACACACACACACACACACACACACACACACACACACACACACACTGAGGACCCTTGTGAAGCCGTGACCGGACCTCCCATCTTCCTCCATCAGAATGTTAACTGATGCTTTGCGTCTTTGTTTGCTCTTGTCCCTGCAGCTCAGGAAGACTGGAACAACTCATGGTCCAACTCTGGAGCTGGAGGAAAAGCCCCCCCTTCCAGGCAGACCAAGGGATCGTACAGAGAGCATCCTTATGGGAGATACTGAACGGCTACTGGTAGAGAGTTGCTGTGGCAGCTGTCTCTGACTGTAACTCACTTAACTTTTTTCAAAAGTAATTTTCCTCCTGTTTTGTTCCCTTTTTTTATGCTTTATTTTATTTTAGTTTTTAAAACTCAGCATAGACATTCTGTTAGATATCTATATAGCATACCAGAGGAGAAACATGAGTGCAAGCTTTTGCATTGTTGATCTGATTCCATTTGATGTTTTTAGTTGTGTAGTTTGCAGTTAATGTCCTAGTGACATAAACCTAACCGAGGAATAAGGGTGACATTTAGTGATATTTGATGGTTATAGTTTTCAGTTAATTGTTCCTGAACAAAATGTGATTGTGGCGATAAACTCTTCTCACATAGGCTGCATTTTAAAAGTCTTTCATGACTGGACAAAAATGATACATGCTGTCTCGATGTAACTTCAGTATAACTAGAATAGATTTAGTTGCAAACTCAAATACAGCCCTGAGCCGCTTTGACTAAAAACAAAAGTCTTGTACATTTGTTTATGCTGCAGTACAAATCTCGCCTTATGTGACGCTATAGGCTCTCCTAAAATGATATCACTGAAATCCATTTGACAAAGAAATGCCTCTATTTTTGCCACACTTTACAATTGGTACATTATGATCAGTTGTTGTGTTACTAGCAAAATCATTTCAGACATTAGAATACTTGTAATTTAACAACCCTTACTGTGTGTAAGGAAGGCTGCAGCCAACTCCAATATTTTGTACATAACCTTAGGACAACTGTGTATGCTTTAAGCCGTGCCGTCTCCAAAATGAATAATGCTTTGTGTACCTTTGGATAAATAGGTTACTAAATATATTCCAAAAATGTTTTTCTGCAGTGCGTGTTTCAATAAAGTTTCTAGTTTTCATTTTAATCAATCTAAACATGGTATTTTGCCTTTGTTGTACAAAAGTAATTCTTCCAGTTTGTGAACGTGGTCCTTAATGGTTTCACAACAACGCTGAATAAGCTGTATGTATACACGTTGACGTGATTTTTGTTTTTCTTTTAAGAAAAAAAACTGCAGTGTTTTGACAATGAGCTTATCCTCTTTGTCTGTTTTTCAAAACTTATCTAAAGGACACTTGTAATGTCAACTTCCCAAAAAAAATAAAATAAAGTTCATCATTCCTTCAGGTAATGTGATGCCAAATTACATGTTTGACTCATGATAAGAATGATACAGTGCTTGAACATGTATTGTCATTAACATTTAGTTAGTTCATCTCTTCAAGCTCTCAAGAGAGCACTGTATCTTCAGCCACCTGAAATAACTGAATTTCAACAGTATTTCAAATCAAGCTTGCAGGGATCTTACTTGACTTTGATGCCAAGTCATGCTGGCTGGTTTTTATAAAAGAAAAATATCGCAGAGGAGAGGATTCTAAAAGCCTAAAGATCGCCACAAGAAGGTAAAACTAACCCCAACACTCATTTATTAGATTCATTTTGTTTTTTTTTGTGCAAAACAAACAATGAATAATCCGTAAAAAACAATCAAATGGTTGTGATGCAACTCTTGCTCAAATATAAAAACCTATAATGGTCCATTAATTTCAGTCAATACTTAACTATTTCCATCTTGATTATTTCTGTAAAATGTAGATGAAGGAAAATTAGTAGTTGCACTCAAAGCATAAAACATCCCATTGATGGACAAAAACCCTTCAGCTTGAGTTGCATGATACTTCTGTAGTGCAAAGTTAGTCTTGCATGTGTATTGTCCCCTCTGTTCATATATGCACTTGTGTGTCCAGGTGGTCATTTCTGTTTCTCCTTTTAGGTTGTCAGAGAACTGTAGGCGCAGTCGGCATCGTAAACTCCATCTTAGCGGACCTATAAGGTCAGTTGGGGGGGGTTTAGATAAGCATTTGTATTTTGCTGTTACGATCATTAAACTGTTCTTTCTGTCTTCAACAGATTCAGTGAGAGTCCCTGGAAAGAGCAGAGACGATGCAGTGTCTCTGAGACGGGGGTAAAAAAACAAACAAACAAAAAGAAAAAGTCAAATGTAGCGGAAGCTTTCTTTGCCACCACTAAGAAAATACTCTGCTGTTGTGATATACTGCTTCTTTGTAAGATGTTTGATTTGATCATTGGTCCTGTGGATTTTATTTCTTTTTTTGGAATGTGACCAAATTTACAATATTTTTAACTGCCTTTTATTAAAAACATTTTGATGTAAATTGTATGATTGTATTAAGATAAAATTCTTATTACATGTGATATAAGGTAGTTGTCAAGATTATTTGTTTGTTCAGTATATTTCCAGATGCATTAAGGATAAATTAAAACACTTATGCAATCCACTGTTGCCCTACATAATATATGCATATATTCTACTGTGATGTTCTGTTTGCTATATATATTTTCTTGTTTGGATTTCTTTTCTGTCACTTTCCAGCTCCAGCGGCATAAGAGTGAAATTTACAAACCAGTAGACGTGTTATCTGCTATACTATCTGCAATTTGAACACAGGACAAACTGATTTACAGTCAGTTAACTATCTACAGGGATAAACTGTGAAATGAAGTGTTTATTTTAACAGAGTTTGTTTTCTACTACATCATTTGCCTCCTTGTTAGATTACACACAGACAGCTGGTTTTTTTTATACCCAGCTGAGAATTTATGCTCATATACAGTATTTTCAGCGGTGGTCCACATCCCCCTGGTGGTCCACAGATGTATTGCAGATGGTCCCTAACCATGCAAAAATAGATGAATTAAAAATAAATTACCCAGATTAAGAAAACTCCACGTATTGTTTGTGAGCCTACAATTTAGAAAGCTAAGGTGACTAAAAATAAAATGCTACCCTTTTGGTCCATCCACATCACATGGTGGTCCTCAGGTTACTACTTTGTCAGAATGGTGGTCCCATAGGGCACAATTAGTTGAAACCCCTGCCATATATTGTATGATTCCACACCCAAGGCAGTGATGGAGTTAGGATTTGGAGTGTATGGTATCAGCCAGCCACTGAAAGAAACTTGGAGCTGTTGGTGGGGTACCACGACCACTAGTAAACAGAAAAGGTGCAGATACTCCAAGTGATGCCTTTTGTATGGGCCAACTAAATGTGTCCTCAAACAAATCTCAAAATAGTTGGTTCAACATACCTTCTCCCAGTTTATACATTTGGAAGTCGTATCTGGTATGCAAAGTGTGGCACAGATTAGATCTACTTTTGATTTGCTAAACTTTGGATGTTTCTTCAGTCTGCAATCATGCAGATGTAATGCTGACTGTGATCACTGATCTCAGGTAAGTTTCAAATGTAATATTTTTCATATAGTTTGGAACCTTTAAGATAAAAATTAATAAGACTAAAGGATCCTTTAATTTATGGTAGGCAGTAATGTGCTAAAACCATCACTGGTCTGGTGCCACTATCCATAACAGTTCATGTGTGTGCCTGTAAACTAAATAGCTGAAAATAAAAGTCCATACATTTTGTACAACCGCCACGCAATGGACTTAATTCAATAATTAAATGAATAATTAAAATTCAAACCATAAGGGTGAGACTACAAACCATGCACAGGTTGAGTCTTGAAGACTTGAAACCATGACAGGGCCTCCACCATGTGTCACTGAATAGAAATAGAATGAATTTATGGTCAAGTATGTTACACACAAGGAATTTGTTTCCGGTACAGAACCGATGGCAGCCATCTGCGGTGCCACCTCAACCGATGGCTCTAACCATCGGGGGCAACCGGGGGGGTTCAGTGTCTTGCCCAAGGACACTTCGACTACCGGCACCGAGATTCGAACCTTCAACCTTCTGATGGGAAACGACTGCTCTACCCACCGCACCACTGTCGCCTCAGTGTAGGCGGACTGTCCCTTTAAATGACTCCTCCCACTGGTCGCTAACATAACAGCGCCCCGTCATTAGCAGCTAGTGTCACATCAACAATGACTGTTTTCGCTGATTTCAATGAATAACACCAGTATTTCAATAGATATTCTGAAAATTTAGTGCGTTTAACTAGTTGTCTATGCAACGGAGCAGCATCTAACACAGAGAGCAGACGCAGCTGGTAAGCTCACATATTTTTGTCTAGCCTGCTCAGTAGGTTGGATGGAAGCTAGCAAGCCAGTGCTAGCCTAGGCCTCAGTCTTTGTGTATGCTGAAGCATGGTGTTGGCAGACAGACTGCAGTCCGACTTGCAGGGTATAGCTCCACTGTGTTGTCGTGTGCCGCCTCATGTCTCATATACAAGTTCTCATGAGATATTTGAGTTGAGAAATGAGCAAATGAGAAGGCATCAACGAGAAGCAATCTTGTGATGTCAGCTTCCGTAAAACTTGCTCCATATTAAGAGATGCCTGTGCAACTCGTGTAAACTTGTTTTTAACGCTGCTGTTTGTGATGCATAAGTATGAGGGATACTGATGTATATGTTTGGCCTTGCAGGTGTTTTTGTTGGCAGTAAAATCTTAAGATTTCAATTATGCATTTGCACCACTCGTCATTATCAGCTATGTGTCAAGTCCAATCACTGATACAGTCAGCATTATTACATATGTCTTGGATGGTTCATACCAGCTCTCCCAGGCCGTGAGTCTGACCTGCTTCCTTGTTGTGATCAGGCGCAGAGGAGAAAAATCACAAACACCAGACATATAGCTGAGAGAAGTGAGCCGTGGGTGTGTCTGCAATGGCTGGAGGAAGGAGAGGGGCGAACCGTACCACATACTGCAGACCTCCACTGAACAGTGAACAAGGTTCGGTCAGCAATGGCACCCACTCAACCAGCTCCCCGGTCACCGGGGTGCGATCTCGTGCGAGGTAAGTCAGGCTCTGATACACTCACACTCATAAACTGCAGCCACGGGGTCAGAAATAGCTGCATCTCATCATAAAAGGTGTTATTACATAACATTTTTTGGGGGGGACTTACCATGCCCTCTGTTCTGTGTGCAGGAACGGTTCAGGAACATGTATGTCCAGCCCTCCGCTGGCTGCTCAGACGGTGGTTCCTCTGAAGCACTGTAAGATCCCGGAGTTGTCTGTGGATCGTAACGTGCTGTTTGAGCTCCATCTTTTCTTCTGCCACCTCGTTGCTCTCTTTGTGCACTATGTCAACATCTACAAGACTGTTTGGTGGTACCCCCCATCACACCCTCCCTCCCACACATCACTGGTGAGCACTCGGTGGTCAGCTAGTGACTGATGATGCTTATAGGGTAATATTATCAGTTGTTTTGTTATAAAAGTGTGGGCCTCCAGAGTTCACTGTAGTCTTAATGTTTAAAAATTTGCATATCTTGATTGTAGCCTAAACTGATCTTTTGCATATATGCTTGTTTATATTAACAACATGATGTAAGTGTGTGAAGGGCTCATTAATCCTGAATCAGTCTTATTGTTTACAGAACTTTCATCTTATTGATTATAACATGCTGGTGTTTACAATCATCATACTAGCAAGGAGGTTAATTGCAGCAATTGTTAAAGAGGTAAGAATCCTGCTATAAAGGAAATGATGTTTTTCCTTTTAGTACATTTAGTTTCTTTAATTGTTCTGTATTGAATAAAGGTGTTCTGTCTCCCTTTTTCTGTCCTCCAGGCATCACAGAGTGGGAAACTCTCCTTCCCTCATTCGATCTTTCTTGTGATCGCTCGGTTTGCTGTGCTGACCCTGACAGGCTGGAGCCTGTGCCGCTCCCTCATTTATCTCTTCAGAACCTACTCTGTCCTCAGTCTGCTCTTCCTCTGCTACCCGTACGTATGCTCGAGAATGGAAGAAAGATTCACATTCATGTCCAGTGGATTTTGTAGTGGGCAGTAGTTATTGTTGCAAAGATACTGTATGTAGATAAGGGAGTCTGGTCCAAGATGTGAATGATGAAAGTGATATTTCAGATCTTGTTTGGATTTTTTGCTTTGTGATCTCCTGAGCAGTCTAGTGCAGCATGTCAGTTTAAAGGCTGCTGTTAACAGTTAGCATATTAAATATTAATAACTTACTGCAGGTTGGAACCACATTTGAATGACATGCTCATTTCCTGGTATGCTTGAGAGGATATGTTGTTAGGATACTGTTATCCAAAGGGACTATGTTTGTAGATTATGTGCACAACATGGCCAGGTTTCATGTGAATCCATAAGAGGACGAAGCTATTATGTGGTTTTATTATGACAGTTTGTCAGACTGTTCTGAACTAATGTGTTGTACATTTCAAGTTGGACCTACTGTTATTTTACAGCCATATTTATTTGGGGTTTTAATAGGGATGGGACAATATATTGAAATTCAGTACACTGCGATGCAAAACATCACAAAATGTATCATTTTGTCTGGCGATATATATATCATGCGGTCTCCATACACCAACAACTTTCTATTTTTTTGTAAATAAGATAACCTTACAGAACATAAGTCAATATATCTGGTTGTTCTTTACATAATCAAACCAATGCTAGAAAAGGAGGAGGAAAAAGAGGAATTGAGTACAAGTATTCCGCAGCGTATTGTTGTCATTGAATCAAATCGTACACACCATATCGTGCAGTGAATCATATCGAGAACTAGTCACATTGTCCCATCCCTAGGTTTTAACTTCAGTGAAGACTGTTGTTACAAATGTATGTCCTGGTAGCTTAGTGGGCAAGATGAGTAGTATATACAGTGCTATAGTAGTGACTCCTAAAAACCTAGAACCTAAGTTAGCACCTTTGCACTTCCGGTTCCCTTGTCCCTGAGTCGGTGAGTTTTGATTAGATGCCTAAATAGGTCTGCGGGTAACACAAGGCCAGTACATTTTCACATTTTATTCTACAACATAAAATCCATTAGTAAATACACCACTTGTGACCGACTCTAACTTGCCCATAGGAGTGAGTGTGTGGTTGTTCGTCTGCGTGTTGGCCCTGCGATGGACTGGCGACCTGCCCAGGGTGTACCCTGCCTTTCGCCCGATGCCGGCTGGGATTGGCTCCAGCCCCCCCCGCGACCCCATTTGGGACCAAGCGGTATAGAAAATGAGATGAGATGAGATGAGACCCCTTGTGACCTTTTTAAAGCTTTCCTGTGTCTTAAAAACACCAGTTGCTAACAAGTGGCCAAATGAGACTATGTAGACTGTCTGGGACATTGAATACCATTCTGTCAAACACAGACTACTGCTACTCACTTGTCCACATTTACAGCCTAGTTCTGTTTAAAATCACGCATTTGCAAACTGTTCTAACCTACGGACACAGCCATGATCACTGGCTATATCAGGTCACGTTAAGAGGAAAGAATTTTGTAGGAGGTTAGCACGCTAAATTATTTTACAAGTTGGAAGCCATGGTGGTGACGTTGAAGTCATGGGACCTGATGTATAGTGTAACAATAACTAATTCTGGCAATCTTATTTGGGCTTCGAAAATCATAAATGTGTTGAATTGTGATGATTGTTGCTTAACAAAAGGTTTAAGTGTCATAAAGCATTGCTTGTCACAGACCTTATTTTCTGCAATAACCCAAAAGCCTTTAGAAAAATCCCCTTGGCTTTCTGTTGAGGGAACTAGGATGATGCCTACAAAAATACGTCGTCCCTATGGCTTTCTCTCTATACCTATTTAATAATGGCAACCAATTGATTCTAAGCATGGCTTCCCACAGATTTGGGATGTATATCCCATTCTTCCGACTGAGCTGTGACTTCCGGCGAGCAGGTCCGCTCTCCCCCATTGCCAGCATTGGCTCTAAGGAGGTGGGCAGCATGGGCCGTGGCAGGGACTACCTAACTGTGCTGAAGGAGACGTGGAAGCAGCACACCAGCCAGCTGTATGGTGTTCAGGCCATGCCAACGCATGCCTGCTGCCTCTCCCCTGACCTCATCCGCAAGGAAGTGGAATACCTGAAGATGGACTTCAACTGGAGAATGAAGGAGGTGCTGGTCAGCTCCATGCTCAGTGCTTACTATGTGGCCTTTGTACCTGTCTGGTTTGTCAAGGTGAGAAGCTGTAGGACCTCTCTTAAGTTTTGATTGGAACTTTTAAATGTTAACACTTTAAATGCTTATCAGTGCATTCATTTTTTTTGTGTTTATATATTTTCTTTTAGAGTACACACTATGTGGACAAACGCTGGTCCTGTGAACTGTTCATCCTGGTTTCCGTCAGTACATCAGTCATCCTCATGAGGCACTTGTTGCCACCGCGATACTGTGACCTGCTTCACAAAGCTGCAGCTCACCTGGGCTGCTGGCAGAAAGTAGACCCCTCACTCTGTTCTAACGTTCTTCAGCACATGTATGGACTTCTCCAGGTCATCACTTGCTTTAAGTTCCATGTGGATTCATTTTAGTCAGATCCCAATCTTTCTCTCGTTTTGTTTCCCACAGATGGACAGAAGAATACATGTGGCCACAAGGAGTCCTGGTTAAACATAATAAGAACGTCTACAAGGCAATGGGTCACTACAATGTTGCAGTCCCGTCAGATGTGTCCCATTATCGGTTCTATGTGAGTATTCCTAAATGAACAGGTCCTGGAGAACAACAGCAGAGAAATTGTACTACTGACCCAGCCTATCCTTACCTGATTACTGAAACCATCCCGTCTGTTTCCCTCCCTCAGTTCTTCTTCAACAAGCCTTTACGAATATTGAACATACTGATCATCCTGGAAGGTGCCATGATATTCTACCAGCTTTACTCACTGATATGCTCAGAAAAGTGGCACCAGATGATATCACTGGCTCTAATTCTCTTCAGCAACTACTATGCCTTCTTCAAGCTCCTCAGAGACAGAATAGTCCTAGGAAAGGCATACTCGTACTCAAACAGCTCATCAGACCAGAAAGTCAGTTAAGACAAGTTATTTTTAGGGGGAACAAACATGCCTAAGCGCTCTGTATTTTTTCTATGAACTGCATTTTGTGTCATGTTTTTGTTCTTATCTGCCATAATAAAAAGAAATATTTTTCTATTACTTTAAAGATGTTTAAAGGTGTTTTTCATTTGTTCTAAATTGTGTCCATATTGGCCACAAGAGGCCTCAGTGTCCCAAAACCTAAACCTTAGGATTACCCTTTTGTGCATTACCTATTGACAAGAGTCACTATTTGACCCTATTAGGTTTTTGTTATCTTATGTGTAATGTAATTACCAGATTCCATTTTGTAGCATTTAAGTCAGTATTCAAGGCATAATCACAACTGTCAAACATATACACCGATCAGCCATTAAAATTATAACCACCTGGCTAATACTGTGTACACAGGAGTCAGTGTGGCACTGGTTGGCACTCGTGTCACTCTGCAGCTCAGTGTGCATCTTCTGTAAATCTGTTTGCTTCCATAGTTAGACTGTCAGGAAGAGCACAAATGTTCTACCATTCAGTGAACGTGTGTAAAAAGAGTGAAAACTGGTTGTGAGGACAAGTTAGAATTATTTAGATAAAGTCAACAGCCTCCCCACTCTAGGTGTGATATCACCACTATAGCCACTGAATGTTTCCCTTCGTAGAGACCAGTGCACAGTATTTCTCATTTTCAACCATTTTAACCAAGATTCAAACTAAATGGAAACTTGTGAAAAGTACAAATGAAATTTAAAAGTTTAATCTACAGTATGTCAACCTTATCAGTGAGCCTTGGGCGTCCATGACCCTTTCGCCGGTTCAATGTCCTTCCTTAGACACTGCTGGTAGGTACTAACCACATTTTCTTCTGTTCTCCTTTTATTACATAGGGCACTGTATGGTGCATAAATTGTCAAGCCCCTTGAAGGAAGTTTGTGATTAGACACTTAGTGATTTTAACGAGCTGCAGTCCTCTCCGTGATGGATATAATTGTGTAAACATCAGTGAAATGGCCCTTTTAAGTCACAGATATATCCACTCATCAAGACAGGCGATTTCCCCGTTTACCTCCGTCAAAACTGTTATTGATTGTTGTATTTCAAGAGATGAGGGATGTTGTAAGAGAATGAGGGAACATCGGCGTCCCCGTGTGGCCTGTTTGTGGTATCTTCAGGGTCCGTTTCCCTGTGTTGTGACTAGCCCTCTTGACTGTTCCATTTGCAAAAGGCCGCCAGTGTTGAGCGGTGCCTACAGCATCCTGCCTGCTGCACCTGTCTGATAAGCTAGGGAGTCAACACCCCGCCTGCCCTGCTCCTGGCCTCCCCGGCGGACTGGCCCTTTAAGGGATAAGAGGGATAAAGCACCACAGCTCCGCACGAGCCCAACGCATCGATGCCGCGGTTTACGTTTTCACCAGTCATTTATACGTCTACCGTACAGATAATTTGACATTACAGCGGCTATAAAGGTTCATTCATATGAAGTGTATTTAAAGGTTTTCGGTGGCAGGAGGAGTGTGATACTGTGCTCAGCCGTTTTGCCCTCTGGTGCGTAATTGACTCGGTAAGTCTTATTTGTGTCATTCATAGGCGAGAAATATGTTTAGACGTCGTCTCCCAATCTAAATTCAACCATATTATGTAATAAGGCGTTTACTGCATATTAGTGTTCAATTCGTATTCTCCACAGTGTTGGTATAATCCAAGTGAAGAGTGATTTCAGCGACTAAAGTTGGCATTGTGTGCGACTGTAGTGGCCATCTTTGGGTTCTACTTTGGACTGAGGCTGGCACGGTGTTCAGGAGATAACAGATAACAGATAACATATACATATACAACCATAGGAACAAACACTGATAGCTTTATGGCACTAACATCACTGGTAAGACCTAGAGGAATACAATTGTCTTAAATTGTAATGCAGTCCAATACAAGCCCTGTAATCCTAAGGTACCTGTGTGGACCTTTACTTTATATATATTGTATTTGTTGATTTTTTTAATACACTGCGTTGTAAAACCTTGTTTTTCTAGTCACTTGAGGTCTTTACCAATATCGACTGTTTGATGTAGAAATAAAAGCAGCTGTCTATATAATTCAGTCATTCAGATCAAAACAAAGCTGTGTGTAGCATTTTTTTGGATCATCTTAATCATCACATAGACCCTCATTGGTTTGTTTGTTTAGAAAATGGGCTCACAACACACATGCAAACCCATTCACGTTCCACACATTTTCCCAGGCTTTTTCACTTTGAGAATCATCTAAAAATATCTTTCTAGGCTTCTGTTTCACCCCCACTTTCACATCAGTGAAACAGAAACTAGAACAATGAGTCCATTAAAAGCTTTCATCTAATTTCAGTCTCACTCTGGGAGGTACCGTAGGTTGGTGGTATACTCTTCCTCAGTGTCACATTTATTAAAATGTAGTGGCACTGTTGGTCTTGATTTTTCTGTGCCATATACACTCACTGGCCACTTTATTAGGTACACCTGTACTGTGGTGGTGTACATGTTTGTCCTCCCCAGCTACATACATGAGAGGGTCAAAATATTGAACTGAAACATTCTGAGCTTCATGAACACAGATGTTAAGGCAGAAGTGTTGCATTGAATTGCATACAATTGTAGAGGTGTACCTAATAAAGTGGCCCATGTATGTATTCTGTTGGCATTACATGGGGATGCAAACATCACTTAATGCTTTTTTATGTAGAGTGGAGAACACTGAAATGCAGCACTAAAATGTTTGCGCAGTCACTACTCTCCAGATAGCTCTTCTCAAAGGGAGGGGAAGGCTTCTGGTTTTTAACTTCTTACCTTTGTTGTTTCAGGACATCCTGTACACCGTCCAGGCAGAGCCCTTTCTTCTGGCCCCAGAGAGCTTTACCGAAAAGAAAAAATCATTAATAATAATAATGGAAGACAAACGCAAGAAGCGTAGCCCAAAGGTGTCACTCCCTCAGCCGCCCCCTCCTCCCATCAACCCCCGCAAAATCTCTGTCTTACCTGCCAGCAAAAGTGCCACCTTCTCCCTTGGCCTACCGCAGCCTCCCTCCCCCAAGAACAGAGGCAAGTATAAGAGGTCCATAGGAGCACCAGGACAGCCCAAAGAGGTGTTTGCAGCTGTTATCGCTCCACCAAAGACTACCAGGTTTGTATCTGTAAGGAGCAAGACAGTCCTCCAGTAACCAGTTATAAATAACTAGTGCAAATGTTCTTTGCATTTTTGTCTCAGAATCTTAAGCATTTTGGATCTCCACCAAAGCTACATTGGACTATAGTAAAAAAAAAAAAAAAAAGGTAAATCACCTTGACAATTAGACCCACTACACTCAACATTTAAAAATAAAGCTAAAATTGATCATCTGTGCACTAGATTACATCAGAGTTGCTCTTTAAAGTGTGACAAGCATTTGTTTAAATTGACATTTGTTAGATAAAAGTGAATGCAATTTTACCATTTAATGCTCAGGTATTAAAACATGCACACAAGTGGAGAAACGTCATAAAGGTAGTGAACAGACTTAGTTATGTCCATTATATCTAAAGTGATCTAACATTAGCCACGAACCACCATAAGCTAGAGGAAGCTTTATGTATTGCAACATTGTGACACGTACAACGAAATTATGTTTAGAGCTGAGGGGCCCTGAGCCACGTGTTCCTATGTGCCGCCATTGTGGGCAATGGGGGGGTTTAGTGTCTTGCCCAAGAACACTTTGACATGTGGACTGCTCTACCCACCGCACCACTGCCACCTCTCTAAAGCTACTGGTCATACCAGAGCAAGTAGCTATGGCCATAGCAGCTATGTACACCCTTATTTATTTTCATGTTGTCAACAATTGTGACGTTTTTGCTTTCTTCTCAGGCCCCACAGGGAGAAGCCCCGGGCACCCCAGCCAGCAGGACCCAGTAAAGTAGTCCAGTCTTCACCCCTACAGCACTCTTTTCTCACAGATGTCTCAGACGTGAGAGAGATGGAGGGAGGACTCCTCAACCTGCTGAATGACTTCCACTCAGGCAAACTGCAGGCTTTTGGTAAGATAACCTCGATTAGGCTGGCCACCGAGGGAATATTCTGCTACTGGCTGAAAATAAAGCCAGTTGAAAAGTGGCTTTATTACATGAATCAGACTGAAATCCAGCAGCTGTGGAGCTATTTTTATACATCTGCTGCCATGGAAATACTTTTGACTTTGCTGTAACCCTTCAGCAACTAAGAGAGATTACATTTTTGCAAAAAAAAAAAAAAAGTACCAAAAGTATCAGCTGTATGGTTTAACCCTTCTATTTTTAGGTAAGGTGTGCTCCTTTGAGCAGCTAGAGCATGTGCGTGAGATGCAAGAGAAGCTGGCGCGCCTCCACTTCAGCCTCGACAGCCATGTGGAGGAGCTATCAGAGGACCAAAGGAAGTGTGCTTCCGACCACAACCTGGAGCACCTGCTCTGTAATGTAAGCATAAACTGCAGCAGAGGTTCCTGCAGTTAATCACAAATTTCACTAGGCCTTCAATCAGTATGAATTTTTGAATATTCACTATCTTTAAATTTCACTTTTTGCATTGCCTATAAATGACCCTTAAATTACAAGAAGCCATTATGTGTGTCATTAATATCTCTCCTATGGTGGACAAGCAACTGAAACAGCGTCATGTGACACAAACTCTCCAAAGCTACTCTAGTTTAGGTGGGTTAGCAGTTATAGTGCAGGTTTTACAACAATGTCAGGTCTGAAGCTATGAAGTAAAATACCTCATTCACTGTGAGAAGTTTTAAAGGGGCACATGTACTTCAGTTTACTAGCCAAAAGGAACCATGCAGCCTGTGTGCACAGTTGTACAGTGACTTGAATGGCTATGACTGGAGTTTCTCTGAAGTCTGAAAAAGACCTTGATGATGTCATCAGGCATATCTTGGATTGGGCAGGGAAATTCACATTTTTTTAAACAGAAAATCTGCATTACAAAGTGGTGGTGCAGGTTTGAAACTCTCCCTCTGGTTTTCTGGAGAGTGGTTTTGAAGCTCAAGTCTGGCCGTCGCCATCTTGGTTTCACTCCACCTAACTCTGGCTAATCCAAAAACAGGTGTTGCATGAGCTGAGGACACTAGACAGCTAGCAGATAGCCACCTGTGACGGGACTCTCCTGCCTGTTACTCAAAGCAGCCCCATTTTAAAAATGCATATTAATTATAATTTAAATGGGCAAGTTATATAAAAGTTCACCCCCACGCACAGTGGCCATGGAAGGGGAAGTTAGCTGTAGAGATCAAACCCATTTTTTGTACCTGACTGTAAAAAGGTTTATTTCTGCTGTGAAGTTGGCCATTTTAACATGAGAATCTATGGGGACTGACTCACTTTTGGAGCCAGCCTCAAGTGGCCACTCTGGGAACTGCAGGCTGTAACACTGCTGCATTTGCTTCATTTCTCAGCTTTGGAGGCTGCCACTTAGTTTGAAAGAAGTGGGCATTTTTTTAGTATAGAGGGTCTGCTGAAAGATGCTTGAGTTGCATTATAGGAACAGTAGTATTTAATTTTTTGTAACTCGATTCATAAAAGGGTCAGCATGCAAGTCAGGATAAGTCAGTGGTCAATTTTGACCATTAAAAAGACAATAGTCTCGTTAGTGCAATACTAAATCTCTGGAGTAGCCTCTGTATATATTAATAACAATAAAACAAACCACCTTTTGGTTCATATATCCAGGTTATGAGACGTTTGATGGACTGTAAGAATCATGTCATTAGTTTTTATTAGTTCTCCAACTGAGTAGTTATAAATTGACATGAAAAAGTCGTGGAATATTTAATTAGGGCAAAGGTGAAAAGATGCAATATGCTTTCATATTAGTTTAATATGCTTTCACATTAGTTCTTTTATGTGCTTTTAGGTTCAGAATCATGTACAGGTGTGAACACTGCTACATCCTTTGTTGAGCTGCTAGTGTGTCTAACTGTTAAATATTATCCAGCACAATGTGCAGTCCAGGAACGCTTTGAGAGAGTTTCTATTTTTAGCATGTTGTGCAGCTCCTGGTTACTCAAGCCTGAGGCTGGTGTGCTATTTGCGAGGGAGACGAGAAAAAGCTTTCAGCTCATTAAGGACACTGCTGACAGGAATACTTGCTAGCTGTCACAGTGATGGATACTTTTGCCATTGGGGGCAAATGGGCTGTGAAGTGACTTTCCTTTCTGTGAATCAGGAGGGAAGATGAACATTTGTTTTTGTGACCATTATAGCTGGATAATGGGGGTTTAATTCAAATATTAATCTAAGAGATAGGTTCACATTTAGTGATTAGCTTTTACTACCACATCATTTTTTGTTTTTGGCTGTTCCTACTTTCATTATACTTCAACTTTTCTTTCCTAGCTGGAAGAGCTCAGCACCTCAATGTATCCTCTTTAATCATTGGTGTACTCCAGGTACAGATTTAGGTCTTCTGTTTTTACTTCAAAGTCCTTGTTTGTGAATCCTTAATGTGTCTACATTCAGACAAAAGCTCCACTTGGCTGAGAACCAGGACTTGCCCAAGACATCTGGTCCTTAACAAAGTGAGGTATGGAGGATGGCGACCACACACTTATGCTTTCCTGACATCTAACCAGGTTGCCATGGCATTGATCCAGCTGCCTTAGTAACATAATGGAAAGATCCACAGGAGGAGGGGCTATTTTTCCATTCGGTCCGTGAACCCACGGGAACCATGCGGTGTATCAAAGCAGCAGAGCGTTAAATAAAAGCTCTACCAAAACCATACACTCCTCATTTATAGCACAAGATGATAGAAGGGTTTACTGACCAGAAATGTGAGAGGAACATATTTTGTTCTGAACATTGTCTTGGCAACAACTCACTTGGCTTCAGTTAAGTAGTTTCATCATTTTTGTAACAAATAACTGAATCCACCAGGGTTCAGCTTTTTGTTCTGTTTTGCATTACAGAAAGCACATTTCGTGAGATTGTAGGAATTTCTGTTGTTTCTTTATGCCATATTATGCAGATCTCTTGCATAATTTTTAATTCTTTACACTGTCAGCAAAGGTGAGTAGCAAATATATTTGGCCCTTGTCAGCAACAACACTGTGGTTAGCTCAGAACTCTTAAGGGAGTTTTACTTTTGCAGCTACTCTGAATGAACTCCCTTATTTTTATATCTTTGTTAAACATTTAATACTGGAAAACAGGCTGGATTTAATATCTGGGTAAAGGGACTATGTGAGGAAACCTAATGTATGAAATGTTTAACTTATATCTAAATGTGGCTGATAAGACAGTTTGATGTAACATTGTTAGTGTTTAATATAACTTATTGTTACATTCAACCATCAGTGTCAAGACTGCATTAATATAACCGGGAAGAATTTGTAACTGTTTCTTTAGGGCTCCCTGTAGCTTTTGTGTTTGTGAATGAGGGCCCACTAGCAGCAACCCTCCAGGCACAAAATAATCCACGCTGCCACTGAAATGCTGTAAAAGCACCTACTGATGCAGGAAGACATTCACGTGTATCTCATGACAGTATTGGATGGCACATTCACAGAGTAATGCAACTGGCATAATTCTCTGTCCATTATATCTGTGCAGATTCTCAGTCATCCAGGTCATAGTAAACTGTTCTCTGTACATTACTATTTCTAAATGGCAGCTACTTGGGGCATGAGATTATGATTCCTGCTTTATTTAATTACAAACTTGGCAGCAATATACCTTGGCTATATTTAATCCCAGACATCAGTGTTCAATCTGAAACAAACCATTGGTGCATTCCTTTTCAAGGCCTGGGAATATGTTAGTCAGTCAAAGATCCTTCACAGTGACCTATTTCAGTTGTTTTACATATTAAAAGGGGCTTTACACAACATGCTATAGGAATTAGACACTGTTATAACAGAAAACATGAACAAGCTCATAGGTATTCAGTGACTTTGTAATAAATAAAGCTGAATTTGATAAAAGTGTGTTTCTTGTACATTTTTTTTCATTTTCAAAAACAGTGAACGGTAACTGTCAAAATTAGACATTAATAGCTGTGGTCAATTCAGCTATACACCTATTCCCATTAAATTTGAATGAGGCACCTGGGAAGTTAGTTTTACAGAAATAAAACACTTTATTTATATGTATGTGTGTGTGTGTGTATACATCTATATATATATATAGAGAGAGAGAGAGAGAGAGAAATCTGTCTCTGCTCTTGTTCACAAACAAACAGGTTCAACAGTTTAACAAGAGATGAGTTAAAAGGCTACTTAAAGACTGGCACTATACTGAGACAGAATCAGATCTCAGCCACCACTGTTTCTCAGACAACCACTGGAGGAAAGAGAAAATCTTTTTCCTTTCATGCTGCCTCCGTCCAGAAAAAATGCTTTGAACCCAAACTTGATCTAGGCAGTACATTACATGATATATATGTACACATATACAGATATGTGTACATATATATCTCCTTAAAAATATAAACTAGTTTGATCCTGCCAGTAAATTTTGGTCATGCAAAATCGAAAAAGACAGGCACCAACTCAGCACATGATTAGTGGGACTTTGAAACCATTACACAATACATAAATTATAAACTGTACCATCATACAGCATACAATTACAGATCAAGCTAATACTGTGCAAATACACATCTGAGCTGTACAAAATGATTTTGTAGTATTTTTTAAATCTCAATTCACAAATCTTCAAAATAACTACATTAGACATTTTAAAAATATCACATCACATCTGATGAAAGGGCAAAAATACACGTCAGGTCCCTGTCTTGTTTCGCTTCAGTTTGTGCATTTCAGTTTTACATTCTGCAATAGTGTCTCAGATTCTTCTACAGTACATGTATAGATTGTAAAATTTGTGATGTTTATCAAGATAGTGAGCTACGTTTTCAAAGTGCAAAGACCGCAGGCTGAGTATGTATGAGACCTGATGTCAGTATGTTACAATTGTCCATGCTTCTGTACTAGAGGAAATCTCACTGAGATAAGAAAAAGCGCTCCTAATTTTAAGGGCTTTCTCTTTATTGATATAAAAGTGCAGGCACTATAAGAAATGTAGAACATCTCTGTCTTCAAGTAGGGCCAGTGTAAATGTTCTTCTCATCCAATGTTTGATTGTTTAGATTCTGCTTTACCTTTATTATAAGGCCCTGAGGACCTCATTTAAACCTTTGTGGACATTGGCAGGCTGGGAGGCAGCACTCTCACTCAGGCTGGACCCCATCTGGGAGTAAAGGGCTTGACACAGGTTGGCAGTAGCAGTCCTCATGCTGCTGCCCTGGCCGTGAATGGTGCCACTGTGGGTAGAGGTGCCCAGGAGGTGCCATAGCAAGGGCAGCACTTTCTGCTCCACCATCTGGGGCTTGCGAGGGTAGAGGTCTGTCACAAGATCTGGAAATAGAGAACAGCAAGTCACAAGAACTGGTCAGACAAACCAATTCAGAAGATGAGGCCATAACTCAGTGATTACAGTAAAACATACCTGCAACCTTTTCAATAAGATCCACCTTTGCTTTGCCACTTAAAAACTGAGCCTTGGTGCAAAAAGGCTGCAGAAGAAGCATGTTATCTGTCATGGAAAAAAAACACACAGTCAAAGAAGTCATTTTGCATAGAAGACGAAGCTTTATTTTATTGTCATTGTAACACATACAACAAAATTTTGTTTGGAGCCGAGGGCCCCAGGCCACTGCCTGCATACGTGCTGCCATCATGGGCAACTTGGGGGGGTTCAGTGTCTTGCCCAAGGACACTTCGACACGTGGACTGCAGGCACCGAGATTTGAACCTTAAACCTTCCGGTTGGGAGACGACTGTTCTACCCACCGCACCACTGTTTCCCCCCCGACATACTAGACTGAACATCAATTTCTACCTCTGCCAAAAATATCTTAATGCTTGAAGTGAATACCTAGATTTAAGATTAGTGCATTAACAGCTCCCATAGCAGCAGAGTAGATGGCGTTGTTCTTGGAGTTGAGGTGATTGTCCACAATCGCTGGGACCAGGATGTTGACCACTTGGGACAGACTTTCCTTTAACAAGTGGATGATTTTCTGTAGAGACTCTAGAGCGTACAGGTTGACCTTACTGTTTGACTCCAGCAGCCTGGCTTTAAAGGCATCAAACACCTGAGTGGAGGAAAACCAGAGGGAGACCAACAAAAGGTGAAAGAGCTGGGTGATGTTTTCATGATGAGGATAGGATGGTAGCTGAGAAACATGACGAAGTACATTAAGAAATGCTAGTACTAACCGGGAATATGCTATTGATGACCACACTGGGGTTGTGCTGGCAGTCAGTCACTAGCTGGTCAATTCCCTTGATTCTCTCTCTGAAGTCTTTTGAACCCAACAGACCTGAGATCTGCTTGATGTATTCAGTCTTGTCTGCAATACTCTGTGTCTGAGATCTACAGCTGTAGTTGCTGTTGGACTCCCTGTAGATGGCACAAAATACATAAATTGGCTTACCTCTGTAAACCTGAATAAAGTATGTATTATGTAGTTTTTAAAAGCTGCAGCTCTGCCTAGTAGATTAAATGTAGTGTTTACAGGCATATCTACCATAGTACTTGGTATTCACACCCACCTGTTGGTCAGGTTGAGAGGCTCCCTGGTGAGAGATGAGGCCCTGACAGTACCACTGCCTGGCAGGGAGTGCCTGCCTCTGGCGGACTGGTTGTCTTGAGGCATCTCACCAAGACCCTAAAATAACCCACGATTTCCAAGTAAGATGACAGTGTTTGATCTCCAGCCAAAACACCAGTCTAACATATACAGGGAACAAACACTGTACCTTTATCTTCAGAGTTAAGACAGTGTCCCTCACAGTTGGTAAGTCTTTGGTGGGAACATATCTCTCCAGGATCTTGTCAAAGTCGGGGTGTGATGACAGGGACAGCAGCATTCGGCGCCCAAAGTACCTGTGGATAAAACCAGAATAATAGTTAGAAATCAGATACTACAGTAATGCTATCTTAAGCCTTCCAGATGTCATGTCCATAATCAGCTGGAATGCTGGAAAAAGTGTTTTCCTACAAACATTTTGTAAAACAGAAAATATGAATGAATCTCACAAAAGTTCATTTGCGCAGAAAGTTCAAATCAAATCTGTGTGTACACACATGAATGAGGCCCTATGGCTCCCATTTGTAAAAACCTAAGTGGAAACGGATGAAGCCACAACAGAAAAGTTTCTTGCCATACCTGGCTTCCTGTGAAGAGTCTTGACAGAGTTTGGTGACGGCAGGTAAAATTCTGTCGGTGAGATCTTTACCTCCAGACAGAAGTCGAGCAGCACCAACCCTCTCTACCAGACTGGCCATATGCTGGGCGGTGCATTTTCTCACTACTGCATTGAGGTGACTATCAGCAGAAGAGAAACCAATTCAACAATCAGAGCTGACCATTTTTAGTTAGTTGATGTTAAGAGTGGTGCAAAGGTACCCACAACTACAATTCCAAATTGTAAGATTGGTTAAACAACAATTCTGTGTGTGTGTAGGGATGCATATTGACCTGAGTCCTCCAGTGAGTAAAGCATTGATGCTACGAATGGGTGTACAGTGCTGCACCATGCAATCCAGTGCTGCATACACATCCTGCCTAATGAAGGCATTACTCTCCCCTGCCTTCTGCAGTAAAGTTTTAACTGTTCCTTCCAGCTCTTGGTCCATTGCCTTCTGCATGTGGGTGTACAGGTCACCCAATGTACACACTGCAACTCTGGACACACCTGATCGCAGATTCTTGACCTAAAAAAGAATATTATTAATACTTGAGGGGAAACAGAATCAACAAAAATACCAGGCAGTTAAGGCTGAGAATATGCATAAGTAAGGAGACACTGACAAATGACACTGACCTGCAAAATGAGATATTAACATTAAAATAAGGAGAGAAGTAGTTTTAGTTCAAATGGAGTAAACCAGCACTATCCAAATGTTGTGGGAATGTATCCAGCGATTACAGTACCTCTTGAATGAGACACAGGCAGACATCATGTAGCCTGCCCTGAAGTGTGTCTGAGTGATAAACAGCCAAACCTCGCAACAACTTCAGACCCTCAATCTTCTTCTTCCTAGATTTAAAAAACAGAAAGAGACAGTTAGGAGGCAGCTGGGAGTCATTTTTGGTCTAGACTTTAATTTCTTGACCAAATTTAAATATTGCTTACTGTTAAATATAACGTATGCTGAAGGTGAGTATTTTTTCTACCAACGTCTATAAATCACCAGTATAACTTTTATCCCAAAAAATATACTATTTGGAATCTAAAGTGGGACAGTATTAAAATCATTAAACATTGTCACACTATTTTGTATTTTATAAAAGTGTTTCTCACCAGTCCTCAGAGCTCAGCAGGTTGAAACTCTGTGTCAGCACCTGGTCAGGCTTGGAAAACGGACACAGCTCCGAAGGCTCTGGGAGGTTTTTCTTGTGCCCCATTGTACCAGAGGACAGCTCATCTAAAAGGCCCATCAGATTCAGTCTCATGTTACATCTCTATCCGTCTAAACACAAGCAGCATGTGCGGGTGGTGGTGAATTAACGGCAGGTTGTCAAAACAATGCCTTTTGCCACATTACCCAAAACAAGGATCTTCTTCACCCATGCCCCGATGGCTCTGACAGTCTAATTATAATGTTCCAACACCTTCTATAAACAAAGGCCTAATAATACATTGGCTCATGTATTTATAATGCAGTGAAATACTACTAAGTTGGTACCCACTGCCATTCCAACTGAGAGATTATGAAGGGCATAAAAAGATACACAGATTTGCAGGTTTAAAATAGATGACTGAGCTTGTTATCTGGTGCAGCACGATTTTTGGATCCACTTACCTGAGCTATGGGACAGTGAGGGTCGGGTTCTGTTGAGGCTAGGAGCCCTCCTAAGCCGGGACACGTTTTTGGGGTTGGGGGGCACAGTGGGGGGGCTTGGCTGGTGGGGCGGAGTGAAGCACTTCATGGGGCTTTGGGGTCCTGGTGGACTGACAGGACTGATAAGGGATTCATCAGAGGGAAGGTCTGCTTTGGTGGAAGTCAGAGTGCTGTCATTTAGCTGCAGATCTACATGAGAGAAGATCAACATTTCAGGTCTCTGGCTACCAACAACTAAATCCATACAATATTTTGTGCTGTGTTACTGTCTGAATAAAGGTATCCTTCTCCAAACCAGCTTTTTACACTAAACTCTATTATCTAACCATTTAATATAAGGAACAACAACGTGTTAGAATAAAAAAACAGTTAATAAATGTAAAATTAACATTTGTAAGACATCAAAGCAGTCATTTAGATGAGCTAAAAATTCATCTTAGTTAACTAATAGTAAAAATCAGACAAAGGAAAATTTGATATTTAATCTCAGAAATAAACAATGCATGGAGAAATACAAATTTAAGCAAAATAAAAAACATTGGTTAAGGTTTCTACAACATTCCCTTGCCTTTGATGATTAATACTTTATTCTCTTCTGTGGGTGAATCAGAAAGCATCTGTCTGACTCGCTGGTGAATCTTGTCTCGTGCGTGGTCCCCTTTAACTGACTGCCCCTTTTGCTGATCCAGGCACTGCAGCCGTATCTTATCCCGACCAAACCTTGCATTCCTCACCCTCTCCTGCATATGCAGTAGTATAAAACAAGCCAGATGCGACTTTGGTAACTGAAAACAGCCTATGACACACTACGATTTACCAGTGGACAAAGGATGACAAACCTTAAGCTCATCTGAACTTGGGATGTCATCAGTGTCTAAGTGACTGCCAGACAGAGCATGGTTATAGATGCCTGCTGTGGGATCAGTGGGGGGTCTAGCCACCAACTCACCCTGCTCAAGTGACAAGACAGCCTCTGGACGGCTAGAGGACTCTGCAGTGCCAAACATGCCTAAGGACAGAGACACACCAAGCCAACATGAAAGAAGTAGCAACAACAAAGGCCGACTGTTGCTTTGCCTCACATCATCTTTGTCTGGGCCAGTTGGGTTGAAAATGTCGCACTTGAACACACTGCACAGACTCCAGCTGACTAGTATGCATGTTCTGCACCTGCATGAAAGAAATAACTCCCCCTACCAACAGCGGTTGAAAAGCAGACTGCAGAGTCTGACTAGGGCCAATAGTGCAGGACACACCGGGAAGACGAGCCCCGACAACGCTCACCAACGGCCCGCTGGTAGCTGACAGCCAATTGTCGGCTTGGTATGTCACGGCCCAAAGAAGCATAACTGATGTTTGTGGATAACTTACATCATGACCTGCTAAATAAATCAGTCATAATATCTACATCATTTTTTAAAAACTATTTAAGTGTAACTCTCATTATGGGAAGTGTGTTTGTATTCAAGAGCTTTACTAGAACATGAGGCTAAAAAATAAACGGTATTTTGTAATGTCTGTAATTTAATGAGGACACTGGAAAGCAGGGCATTTTGCCTTTGAGTAACAAAGCAAAAAACTGCACAACTGAACAATGACTTGTTGTCTTTACATGTTTTGGGAGACTGACCTCTTCCAATGACTCCTTCAGGCATGTCGGTGCCTGGTGAGTTTCTACTGCTGTGGCTCTGGGATCCTAAAGATCAAAAGAGAAGATTTACTGATTTATTGAAACACACAAAATAGTATTACCAGTTGAATCCACTGTCCCTGCTGAGTCACCTTTGGCAGGCTTCAGAGCTCTGACTGATGCTTTAACCAAGGGAGGGGTTGGTCCTGTCATCTCTTCCTCAGTTTTGATTGCTCCATTGGGGTAAGTCACTCTCTGCCCAACAACACTCACCTCAGAAGACAGTTCATTTCTCAGAGACAATCCTTGACAAAGGAAGAACAAAATCTTAAATAGGATGCACAATAACACAAAGCAGAGGCCCAATCCATTTCAGTCATTTTATACCTTGAACGCTGCTGAAGTCCATGGACACAGAAGACCTCAGTTTTGCAGAAGGCACTCTTGCAATGCGAGGTTTCATTCCTGAAGAGGCAGAGTTTCCAGGACTGTTGGCAAATGTGACAAATGAGAAATTATAACGCATAGCTGCTCAGTATGCTCAAAACATCCTCATCCAAAAGCAGATGGGTATCAGATTACCACAATCATTAATTAATAAACTGAAATATAACAGCTGAAACATCTATGCCTAGTGTCCCAACATATTAGAAATGAAACAGTCATAAAATAATTCATTACTTAAAAACATTATTGTAAACATGCCTGTCTTTCAATGAGACAGAGCCATGAGAAACATGAAAAACATTTTTTCCTTATACTATCCAAACCTTTGCAGAAAGGTGCACCAAGATCAATCTGCATTATAGTTAACTGGAGACAATATGGTAGAAAACTAAAGCTTTTATCAGGATTTCAAGTTCTTTCATTTAAATCAGGAGTCCACTCAAAAAACAGACAAAATGATGACATAATATTGAACTGCAATGTAATGTGGCAGAGGGACATTAGAAGTGCCCAATGCAGCAAAATGCATTTCCTTTACCTGGTGCTGATGCCATTAAAGCCGGAGCTGGCAACTGACCTCAGACTGGAAAGCCCACTCTCACTGGCTGAGCTGGTAAGCATCGGAGAGGAGTCCAAACCCAGGTCTACTCTCACAGCTGAGTCAGGGCTGTCTGGATCTGGACTGCTAAGACTCACTTTGGCCCTCTTCTTGGCAGCACTGTTGCGCAATGAGCGCAGAGAGTTCAGCATCTGTGAGCAACACAAAAACTGGCACATATGAGCATGCAAAGGTGTATTAATGGACCTTTAGCCTGCCTAGACAAGCAGACTAGGCCCCGATGTCTTTGGTCATATGGTATTGTACCAAAAATACTGGAGTGTCTTCTCAAGGAATCTCACATGCCGAAGGTACAAGCTGGAACTTGCAATTTCCCACATTTTCTAGTTAAGTCTAGGTAATAGAAAACAGACAAGCTGCTGACCTCCTGCATGTCCAGAGGATCATCCCCCTCAGGGTCTTGCAACGTACTGAAGCTACCAGGTTCTAGCTGGGGGTTCTGAGGGCTGCTTGGAGCATTAGACTTCTGGCCATTACAAGACTGGGCCTGCTCTGTTGGAGGGAGGACTGGTGAGACAGAGAGGGCTGCCCTGGTGCCACTCAGAGCCCGTCGGAACGACAAAGCAGAAGAAGAATTCACAAGGGAGGCACGAAGAGGCCTGGGAGAGGATCTGCTACAGAGATGGTCCTCTGGAAGAGGCAGGAGATAGATGTCACAACATTTTTGCATTCAGCAAACAAACCAGCCACATATCAATTAATGTGCTGTTACTAGATTACCCTTTGCTGCTGTCTCTCTCCAGGGGCTGGTGTCTCGCTGGTGAGGGTTGTTCTCCCTCTTGTTGGGCCAGGTGTTGGACATAGAGAGTGAGGAGTCTGCATGGCGTCGGGGCAGTGTTGGAGTAAGTTTGCCTCCTGGGAGTGCAGCCAGTGGGTAGGAGGGCAATAGGAAGGAGCCAGATGTGGTGGAGTTAGAGGGGAGGGAAAATGTACGCTCAACACTGGGGTTTCTTGAAAGCATGTGTCCATTGTGTGCTTCTGTAAGACAGAGTATGACATTCATGATTGGCTGAATGTTCAAAAGTCTCCATCCCTAGCTCTTCCTTATTTCCTGATTTTTTCTCTTGCTTACTTATATGCAAAAACCACTGACTTCTTACCAACATTTGGGTGAGAGACGTTGGTAGTTTTAAAGATGTCAGGATCTAAGTTGAGGCTTCCACTTCTCCTGAGGTGTGAAGAAGACTCCCTCCTCCTAGAGGACTGTGGCTTCTGTGGCTCTGCAGAACCTAGATGAAAAGTATATATTTTGAAATGTTTTATTTTAAACTGAACAGGATGGGTTATTACTCAAATAGCAGTTAACATGACAGCAACAATCCCTCC